GAAAATTAAGAGTTAATGGAAGACGAAAGAAAATAAAAATGAAAGAAAGAAAAAGAAAAATAAATAGAGTATAGAAGGCGAAAAAAAAAATATAAAGAAAGAAATAGAAAGAAAGAAAAAAAAAAAAATAAAAAAAAAAAGAAAGAAAAAGTGGAACAAAATTGAAAGAAAAAAAGAAAAAGAAGGGAGTTAATGGAAGGCGAAAAGAAAGAAAGAAGGAATTAATGGAAGGCGAAAAGAAAGAAATAAAGAAAGAAAGAAGGAGTTAATGGAAGACGAAAAGAAAGAAATAAATAAAGAAAGAAAGAGTTAATAGAAGGCGAAAAGAAAGAAAGAAAGAAAGAAAGAAAGAAAGGAGTTAATGGAAGGCGAAAAGAAAAAAACGATCAAGCAAATAAAATATAAACGTCGAAGAAAAAGAGTGAAATCAAAGAAAGAAAGAACATAAAAGAACATGAGTAAACAAATGGAAAACAGATATAGGGAGGGAGAAATCAAAGAAAGAAAGAAAGAAAGAAAGAAAGAAAGAAAGAAAGAAAGAAAGACTGCAGTCAAACAAATAAAAGATAGACACAAAGAAAAGGAGATATCAAAAAAGAAAGAAAGAAAGAAAGAAAGAAAGCGATCAAACAAATTCACAGATAGATATAAAAGAGTGAGTTCAAAGAAAGAAGGAAAGAAAGAAAAATGAAGGAAACTGTTGTTTAATGACAGAAAAAAAAAATCAAATAAAAAAAGAATAAAGGCAAAAAGAAAAAAGATGTCAAATGTAAAAAAATTTACATACAGAGAGACGGTTCAGACAAAAGAAAGAAAAGAAAGAAAGACTGAAGAAAAAAGAGAGAGAAAAGAGAGAATAAACGAATGAAAAAAAGAATAAAGGAAAGGAAAATCCTTGTAGAAAAAAGAGAACGGTCAAATAGATGAAACATATATAGATAAAACGAGATATATATATATAAAAAAACAATATGACAAAAGAAAGAAAATAAATAGGAAGAAAGACCCAAACAAATAAAATATAAATGCGGAGAAAGAGAGAGAGAAAAGAAAAAAGAAAAAGAAATTGATGAAAGAAAAAATGAATGATAGATTAAAGAAAATTGAAATGAAATAAATAAAAGGAAGAATAAAGGAATAAACAGAAAATAATTTAAAAAAAAGAAAAATAAAGGAATAAAATGAAGAAAATAAACAAAAAAAAAAACAAAAAAGAAAAAAAAAAGAAACAAAAAATGAAGGAATTAAACAAAGGCGTTTTCTGAGAAAAGAAAATCTCAAAAAACAAAATAAAATAAAAAGCGAAAATAAATGAAAAAAAAAGGAAAAAACGTGATATCTAAAAAAATAAACAAAAAAGGAAGAAACCAAGAAAATCTTCAATCGTTTTTCAAGGCTTAATCATTCCTGAATGACTCTTACAAGACAAGAATAAGTAGAAAGTAAAAACGAAAAATAAAAAATACAAAAACAAAAAATGAAAAAAGGATAACAAGGTTAAATATAAGACAAAAAACAGGAAAAGTAAATCAAATAAAATGACAATGAAAATGAATTTAGTAAAGACATAATATTAAATATCTGAATTAAAAAATAAATCCAGTGGATTTATACTTGGGCAAAAAGTAAGGTAGAAAATTTCACTGTCAACCTATCTTTACTTTTTAATCTTAATTTTAAAGCCAAATGGGCTTAATAATTAATATATCTAATGAAGTAAAATGTCATATTATATTTCTTTAAAATATTGGACACTTAAGGAACGACAATGTTCAATCGCGCTAATAACTGGAATTATTTGAAGGTTGGCAGTTGTTTGGTGCCTATGAAGAAAACAATTAATATACAAATATTATTAGATAAGTAGGCAGATAGATAATATGAATAGATTGATCTCTCTCTATATAGAAAGAAAGAAAGAAAGAAAGAAAAAAAAAATAGAAATGCCATAAAATATTTAGAAAAAAGGCAATAGATAATATGAATAGATTGATCTCTCTCTATATAGAAAGAAAGAAAGAAAGAAAATATGGATAGATTGAGATAGATTGATAGATATATAGGAAACGAATGAGTGTAAAGCAGATAGGAACAGAGTGGCAATAAGATAGATAGATAGATAGATAGATAGATAGATAGATAGATAGATAGATAGATAGATAGATAGATAGATAGATATAAAATATAGATAGGTAAAATTAGAAACAATGAGAAGTCAAACAAAAAATATAAATTGTTACATTTCAAAAGAGAATCATAGGAGTGTACTTTTCTCAGTCGGTAAAAGAAGAAAAATTTTAAGTGATAACTAAAAAGAAAAGAAAAATCGACAATTCTGACAAATTAAATAAGAAAAAAAAACCAATAAGACATCATTTGTTTTATAATCATTTATTCCTATAATAAATTATTATGTACAATTATGCAAAAAATATTAATGTTCAAATATTTTAGGTGTTACTTACCGGATATTAAATAATGATATGTTTTCAAAATTCATTTCATGTGAACTGAAAGAGTGAGATCATATTCCATTTGTAATAAATTTCAACGTATTTTTCAAAAATGCAGAGAAATGAATGAATTTCAACACACACAAGTACACACACACTATACATACATACATATATATATATATATATATATATATATATATATATATATATATATTTTTGTGTTTTGAAAACTTTTTTAGAATTAATCTGTAGAAAGTTACAATATGTATCAGAAAAAAGACAATACGAAAATGTTATATTTAAATTTTTTGGTCAAATAAATGCAGTTCAAAGAAAATGCCTTTATGGTCTTAAAGAAAAAACAATGAAACGTTAGAAGATACATACATACAGTTTTCTATTGTCTTTTTTGCTTCATAGATATATATATATATATATATATATATATATATATATGTAATGTGTGTGTGTGTGTGTGTGTGTGTGTGTGTGTGTGTTGTGTGTGTGTGTGTATACATATATATATACATATATATATAGAGACATATATATATATACATATATATATATATATATATATATATATATATATATATATATAGAGAGAGTGTGTGTGTACATATATATATATATACATATATAGAGATATATATATACATATATATATATATATACATATATATATATATATATATATATATATATATATATATATATATAAAAACGTTTCTTTGAGAACGAGATATATTTTTTTTTTTAAATCAACGTTACGGAAGGTGCTCGGGAATTTTTAAAATAATAATTCTGCATTTTTATTCTTTCCCGTTTCGTATATGATTCTAAGTTCAATTTTTCAGCAATCGTCAGGCACGGATAGAAAGCTATCTATCTATCTATTTCTTTATATAAAAAATTTATATGTGTTTGTATAAATCACGATCACTTTCTTATATTTACGTTAGTCCCTGTTACTCCGAAAAAAAAAATGCTTGCCATTGTTTTCCAAATACAGGTATTTAACATTCTTTTTCAGATAAAGTGGTTTTGGAGTTAAAAAATATTGAAAATAAACAAAATCACAACAAAATGTTGGGCGGCATATGAAAATTTAACCACATAAAAAGGTCTTTAAATTGTTGACCAAGAAAACATAATTCTATGGGCGTATTTTAATTTTAATATTAGAACAAACTATCCCAAACTTTCAAGATTTCAGCGTCAATCTTACAAAAATTTTTTAAATTAAAAATGTTCACCTCAAATGTTAAGATCTCTTTCACTCGCTCAGGTACTCTGACATCCTTAAAAAAATTTTTTTATTTTCAAACATACTTGCCATTTGGTTAAATTTATTTTAATATTCTAAAATAATGATATTTTAAATATTCTTACAATCTCTTTTATATAATTAAATATATATATATATAATCGTATATATATATATTATATATAATATATATTAAAAAATAATTTACAAGATAATAATAATAATAATAATAATAATATTAATAATAATCACCAAGATTGGTTCTAATTTATTTCGTGAACATCGACATATTCACTCTTCAAACCAAAATCTCTTAGTATACACACACACACACACATATATATATATAATTGTACATGTGTGTGTATATATACATATACATACATGCATACATATATATATATATATATATATATATATATATAAATATTTATACTGTGTATATATATATATCAAGATACATGCATACATATATACATATATATCATTATTATTTATGTGTGTGTGTATATAAAATACATACATGCTATATATACAAATATATATTTATATCTTTCTCTCTCTTTTATCTTCTCAATATATATATATATATATATATATATATAAATATATATATAAATTTATTTTTAAAATATATATTAATATATATATTTTCATATATGAAACATTTAAATATGTATATAATTCTTTTACTCATATCTATATTTTTCTTACAATATTAAAACAATTTAAGAGATTCTCTATAAATGTTCGGAAGCATCTATGTTATGTTTTTCAAATTAATCTAAAAAAAAAAGAAAAAAAGGATATTTTCATGTATATATGATACGAAAATATATAAGACAAATGTAGTGGAAAAGCTAGAATATGCAAAGTATATACTGCCTTTCCTGCGATAAAAATTCTTCGGATCCCCTTTTTCTCCTTCTTGCTTTCATATCTTTCTCTATATTTTATATACTATTAAAATGCCTGTTTTTACTTTACTAATAAAATTCCATATTCACCATTGTTTTAAAAGAAATAATATAAGAAATTGATATATATATATATATATATATATATATATATATATATAAGATATATATATATATATATATATATATATATTTATATACATATATGTCTGTATGTATATATACACACACATATAATAAAGATATTTTGGGAGAACAATTGTTAAAAGTCCCTAAGATAGAAAACAAAGTATTTTCTGGTGTCGATATTTACGGATGTTGTTGGAAGGAAGACAGCGGCAAGTCCCTATTCTTGGTTTTCACAGCGACAATGCTTTAGTAACAAGTTATTTAATGTCTTTAGTTTGTTTATTTATTTAACACTTACCAATTAAGTGGAAGTGACATATACTTTGAAGATCTGAGTCTGACGATGCTCCGTTCATTTTTACATTTTATGTCTATCACACTCCGCCTCTTTCAAAAAGAGGCTGCCCTCCCTCTCTCTCTCACTATATATATATATATATATATATATATATATATATATATATATATATATATATATGTATATATATTATTTAATTAAAATTTATAATATAGTTTTTTCTAAACAATAATAACCATGTTTCAAAAAACTAAAGCTAAAATTTCAAATTTAATTATATAATTAAATTAAAAGCATTAATTTCATTTCATCTTCAAGTGAATTTTATAATAAATTCTTTTTATAAATTTACTGAGTTTTAAACGCACATATAAATTCATAATTTCCTGTTTCCGATGATACAGAGAAATCCAATCATTCAGACAAGGGCGGTAGTGTGTTCATTTTTATTAACTATTGTTGTATCAATTAATTTTCTGTTCGAAAAAAGCGGTCAAGTTTAGGGAGGGTAAGGACATTTCAATGAATTCTGACTTCCGTTAAACGCATGTCGTCTGTTTTTTTTATTTTGTTTTTTTTTTCATAAAAATATTTTTTATATTTTTTTTCTTTTGTATAGAAAAAGATTTCTATTTATTTAACTGAATTTTTAAAATATTTTAAACAATTACTAATAGACTATATTTCTAAAAAAAAGTAAATGTAATGAATTACTTAAATTATTTAAAATTTTTACATTAAATATAAGTATGTATAAAACCAGCTCCCATTTTTTTTTAATAATGATTTAAAATCGACAATGTGGAAGGGACAGTTATGAGGATTTCTACAGTTACATATTTTTTTTAACAATTTTCATCTCTTTTTATTTTTTTTTATATTGTCTAAATTTCTTTGGTTTTGGTCTAAGTGTTTATTAGAAGATATTAGCATTATGTTTCTTAATAATTTTTTCTAAGTTTTCAGTACAGCTGTTACTTAATTTTAGTGTATTTTTATTGAAAATATTACTTAGTTTACTTTCTCTAGGAAAGTGTTTAACTATTAATGTAAGGAATTTTTGGCCTAATTTTTTCTTTACTATTTGGTTGATGGGGGTGTATACCAAATTATTTTTCTACTTCTGTTTTTTCTATGCTTTCCATTTTCCCTTTTTATATAAGTTAGTTTTTGGTTTTTGTAGCCACTCTCTTTTAGAGCCTTATTATAGAAATTAATATGTTTCATAGAAAATCTTCTCATTTGCTTTTTTGTGTATATATATATATATATATATATATATATATATATATATATATATATATATATATATATATATATATATATATATATATATATATATACATACATATATATATATATCATTTTACTATTTTTAATCCATGAAAATTGTAAAAAATAAATCAAACCACCTTGTTTGTCATATTCAATGAAATATGCATGAAAGAACGATTGATGTTAAATACACAAAACACAAATACACACACATATATATAATATATATATATATATATATATATATATATATATATATATATATATATATATATATACACATTTTTATAGTCCTATACACACACACACACATATATATAGATATATATATGTGTGTGTGTGTGCAATATTTATTTATATATATATATATATATATATATATATATATATTATATATGTGTGTGTGTGTGTTTATTAAAGATCTCAAAAAAAGCCATGTTCTATCGAGAGAATAAAGAAATAATAATTCTCCAGTAAAAGACTGACGCTCTCTGCTATTCAAAATGGGCGATTAACAGGCTCTTAATATGTAAATAATCAAGAAAGTAATTTGTATGTATATTTAAAAACTGTTTTAATGGTATTTAATACAGAGCACTTTTATATACATAACAAAACGAATAAAGAAATCAAACGCTCATTTTGTTATATTTCTGAAAGACTTGTTGAGTAAAAAAGATTCTTCAAAATAAACAAATAAAATGACATATATCGATTTGTTTACGAAAAAACTACAATTAAGTGACAAAAAGTACAATTTTAAACATTTATTTAGTTCCCATAACTATATAATATAGTCTATAGACTAAAGTCTGTAATATATATATATATATATATATATATATATATATATATATATATATATATATATATATATATATATATATATATATATATTTTGAACTCTTACATTATTCATGGAAGTTCTCCCGACAAAAATGCATATTTATTTCGACGTCTAAAGACATCTCGTCAATTTGTTAACAATGGTGGTAAAAACATGATTTTTTATCGTTGTAACTTGCATGTTCCAATGTAACAGATTCTAATAAATATCTATTGCTCTACTCTTGAATTTAGCCCTTTTTTAAATTAATGTTATGAAAGTTTGAATTTATATGCTTTTCGTCCTTTTATTTTTTGTATATATATATATAT